AATTTGTTTCTCCTAAATTTTTTCCTGTTTTCTAAAATTTCCAATAAGGGAATTCCATAATTGCTTTTAGTGGTCTATTGTAGCCTGTACTATTTCTTATAGTCAGGCCAATCTTCGCGACACTGTTAAAATAGTACAACTTAATTTGCTCTTTTGCAATGCCATGAAGAATTGGGAGAATTACAAAAAATATTTAAAAAGCTCGGCAAATAACTGAAAGCCACTATTCTACTCAAATCTCAACTTAATTTTTTCCTCTTCATGATAAAAAATATCCAAACTTTTTAAAAGGAGATTTAAGAAATTATTTTCTCTTGATTCTCTAGTTTTTAAGCTTTTTTATTTTTCAGTAAAAAAAAATGTCCTTTATAGATTAGACTATAATATAGATCATTACCGTTACAGTACTTGTCAATAAACTTTAGCATGGCTACATTTATATTTATGTAGGGCAGGTGATACTAATAACTGAAAAACAAAGAGAAAGTCTCACAGCTGCAAAATGCTTACAGAGAAGTGTAGAAATTCAGACACATGAAGACTAGAGGTAGAAACACGATGTAAATTTAAAAAGAAGAAAAAAGGACGGGAAGAGAGGACATGAGGGAGAAAGGAAAGAAGACAAGAGACACTTGCTCATCCTTGAGGGAATTCATGATTTAATTCTGGAAAAGACAGGCAGAATCAATGATAACTTAAGGTAGACTAGGCCCCATTATATAGTATGCTAGGTAGGAATAAATATGCCCAGGAACATGAGAAAAACAGATTAATTCTATTCCTGAGGAACGGTGAAAGCTAAGTGGACACAGACTCTAGGCAGTATCATTTCTGACATGCCTCAATCCAACCATAAAGCAAGGAAGGGCCAAGGAAATATGTGAATTGCAAATTCATATGTGGATATCCTAGGGCCATTGCAATTCAGAGCAATACCAGGCTTCTAATAATAATTTACATCTTGTAAGCAATCAGATGAGAACTCTTTAATTTTCCCATCATCAAAGCTATATATGTGAACATCAGTTTCTACCTATCTGCCTATCAAAAAGGATGAAAAATCCCTTCTCTTAGGCCAGTGTCTCCATCAGTATTCAGGATCACCACCCCTCTCACTTTTTCAGGGACCTGAGTCCAGCAATTACCAACTTCATGGCACATTATCAACTTGGCCATCACCACTGAATTATTCCCATCAGCAAATAGATATGCATTAGTACTGTCCATCTAATATTCCCCTCCACTCCTGTTTCTCTGCTCCTCAGTCAAAATTTCTTAGAAGTATGTCTGTACAGTCTCTGCCTTATTGGCTCTCATTGTGTCTTCAATCTACTTCAACTGTGCTTCTGTCTCTGCTGCTTACTGAACTAGCAGCCATCACCGTAAACCAAAGGACATCATCTTGCTAAATATAATGGTCAATTTCTAAATATAATGGTCAATTTCATGTCCTCCTTTTCCTCGTTCGTTCAGTAGTAAGCGACAGTCCATCACTCCTCTCTCCTGAGATGCCATCTTCTAGGCTTCTCTGCTACACCCTCCCCAGGACCAGAGCCTCAGGTATTCACCTATACTCTCCCCTCAGGTCATCTCATTCAATATGAGAGATTAAAAAAGTATAACTATACATTTACACAACGGAATATTACTTGGCTGTAAAAAGAAAGAAATCTTACCTTTTGTGACAGCATGAATGGACCGGAAGACTACTATGCTAAGTGAAATAAGTCAGGGAAAGGCAAGTACTATATGATTTCAGTTATATGTGGATTCTAATGAATGAAATAAACTAACAAAACAGAAACAGAGTCATAGATACAGAGAACAGACTTACAGCTGTTAGAGGGGAGGTGGTTTGGGGGGCGCTGGGTGAAAAAGGTGAAGGGATTAGGCAAAAACAAACAAACAAAAAACCCCTTATACAGATCAATAGTATAGTGACTACCAGAGGGAAAGGGGGTTTGGAGGGTGTACACAAGGACATAGAAGGATCAATGGTGATGGAAGGAGACTTGACTTGGGGTGGTGAACACGGAGTAAAATACACAGATGATATATTATAGAATTATACACCTGAAACCTACATAATTTTATTAACCGATGTCACCCCAATAAATTTCCTAAAAATTAAAAAAGTTCTGAAAAAGAAAATGACTTCTTCCCTGAGCTCAAGATGCATATCCACCTTCCTACTTCATAGCTACCTTCATATTGAAAACCCCACTCCCAGTAAATGCTCCCCTCACTCCAGCATCCCATTAAAATGCACTACTAGCATCTGTAGTGTTGCTGAAAGTAACACAGAAGCTATTCCAAATTCCTCTTTCTTTTACTTATACCACATCCAGCCCATCACCAAGTTGTGTTGAATCTACTTCCGAAATATCTCCCAAATCTGTCCATCACCTGCATCTTCATCACCACCAATGTTAAAACAATTGAACAAGGAAGCCATCAGACTGAAGCACCTCAAATGCCTACATAAGCAAACTCTTAAAAGTGAACAATAAGACACATTTTTCTAAAAGAACAGGCAAAAAATTTGAACAGACATTTCTCCACAGAAAATATACCAATGGCACAACAAAAATGCCCAACGTCATTAGTCATTAGGGAAATGCAAATCAAAATCACGAGATATCACTTCCCACCCTGGATGATGGCTATCATAAAAAAAAGAAAACAATGTGTGTTAACAAGGATGAGGAGAAACCGGCACCCTTATTCACTGCTGGTGGGATTCTAAAATGGTACAGACACTTTGGAAAACTGTTAGGATGCTTCTCAAAATGCTAAACAGGATTATCAGAGGACCCAGTGGTTCCAATACTAGATAAATTTCCTGGAGAAATGAAAACTTGTGCATTCACGTTCATTGCAGCATTATACTTAGTAGCCAAAAGGTGGGAACCACCCAAATATCCATAAAATGATGAATGGGTAAACAAAGTATAACAGATCCATATAATCAAATCTCATTTGGCAATAAAAAGTACTATTTATATATGCTACAAATGAAGGAACCTTGAAAACATTAAGTTAAAGAAGCCAATTACAAATGACATTTTGTACGATTTCATTTTCAAGTGTCCAGAATAAGCAAATCTATAGAGAAAAAAGTACATTCATGATTGCCAGAAGTTTGAGTCTGTCTTTGCCCCTGTTTCCCTCTCCCTCCCTCTTCCTCTGTGTGTGTGCGTGTGGGCACACACTGAAATAAAGCATGACAGCTAAAATAAATGGGGCAAAGAATGACTGCTGAGATAAATGGGGTTTCTTGGTTTCTCTTTGGAGGGAATTCAAAAGTTCTATAATCAGATAGTAGTGATAGTTGCACAACTCTGTGAATATGATAAAAACCAGTGAATTGTATACTTTCAAAGGGTAAACACTGTGATATGTGAATTATTTCAATAAGACTGTTATTTTTTTAAAAATCTGAAGACACTAATAAGGTTAATCTTTCTGGACCCCAATTAATTTGCAAATACGCCACATTTTCAATGAACATTTATTCTATTTTTGTCAAATAACAGGGATATCAAGATGAATAACATGATCCTCCACCCTCAGGGAGTTTCCAGGTTGGCAGAGGACATGCTCCACAAAGCCTGCCAAGCATGTGCAGAACACTGTACTCGGGATGGAGAGCATTCGAAACGAAGGGCACACAGTATATTTGTTAAAATAAAAATAGCTCCGAATTACTGGTCAGAGAATAAACAGTTTTTACATACTACGCATATGCAGGGAGATTAGCAATCTTGGAGCTACAATCATCACACCAACCATCGCTAATCGGGAGCCAGTTTCCTGACATCTGCAGCCCAAATCAGAATACAGTGTGTTCTTTCTCCCTTTGTCTTCCTTCCCCTCGTCTCTATTCCGTATCCTGCTGACTTGTGATAATTAGGTAAAAAAGTGACTGGTTCTGACTGACACCAGACAGCTAGGGGATGGGGTAAGCCCAGTGTTTTCTGACATGCTTCCTCCGTAAGGTGCCCATGTAGAGACAGCAGCCGACCTACTTCTGTATTCTCATTGCCTGCCACGTAGTAGTAGGTGTTTACTGAATAAAAAAATATCACCACTGCACAGACATTATATAAAGCAGTCTCTGAACACACCAACACCATTCTCATTCTCTCCCTTCTCAGTATTTCACCTTTTTACTCTGTGACACATATAAATAAATCTGACAAATGAATAGATGTCTAATTATTTAACTTCATTTTGGGAGTGGACAGAAGAAAAGAGGAAAGGATGAGCACATGGTACCATTTCAATTCTTATACATTAACATGTCTTTTCCTAAATGAGTTAAAGGCTGTGCATAAAATGCACTTGCTTGTAAAAGGAAGAAAGCTGCTGTGTTGGAAGCACCTCGATACCATTTAGCTGAACCTGTTTAAAATTCAAAATCTATTCGTATATCTCTATGTTTAGATTAACTCTGGGGTCTTGGGCAAATCATTTAACCTTAATAAGTCTCAGATTCCTCCTTTCTAAAACTGAAATAATAATACCTAATCTGTCTCTCAGGATCGTTATAGAGTTAAATGGGAAAAAGTGTGAAACGTTGCTATGAATGATCAAAAGCATCATCAGCATAATCACTGCTATTTATACGCAGCTTGCACACACTCAAGGCTCATACAATTTACTCAGCAAGCAACCACTGAGACCGTATTGGTGTCTCTCCTATTAAGTATCATGTAATATTTTTCCAGAAAATAAAATGACCTTGCTGGTCCCTTACTGAGAGTGTAACCCAATCACTTAGTATTCTGAAATCTAAAACAAATATGAAGAGGCTTCCTAAATTCTCAGGTCCTGGTAATGTAATTCCTTGATAAATTGAAGCTCAAATAAGGAAACTATCAAATAAGTGTTTGTAAAAGTTCTATGGAAATCCATGAATGGTACACTTTAATTGTTTAGTGCATCACAATATCAACTACCATTTTAAAGTTACCTTCTTGGTAATAAAAACTACCTACCTTTTCAGCACAGGCTCGTATCACCTCCTAAAAGAAACACAGTAAAGAAATATTAATAATTTCATCTTAATAAAATATCAACTCTTCAACAGTCAGATGTTAATATTTTAATAACCAAAATCTACATTTGGTAGAGTTTCTTTATTACCCTGCAGTTACACCATATTGTTTCCAGTAAGATGAAAGAAAAAACCAAACCTCTAAGTTGAAGACTCACTGACACATTCTGGGTAACTCTAACTCGCCAAAACGAAATGCACTGGTAAGCGAGATTTCTGGGAGGCCCACATGCAACCACCTCGGGAAAAATGTGTCTCCTCGGTAAACTTGGCGCAAACACTAAAATTCTGTACCAGAACACTAATGTGCCTAAAAGACATATCCTGAAGTAAATGAAGTATAATAATTATCCCCATAAGAAAGTGCCATCAATATAATTCCCATATTAATATATTTCAAAATAAATCTAATACTAACACCACTGAGTGGTAAAGTGTATGACCAGTTCTGAAGGAGCTACAGAAAGGAATTGCCTACAATTCGTGGAGCAAGACCAAGAAAAGATCCCTTTTGAAAAAGAAACTGGTAAACAATCAACATATACTAGATGATTTCAAAATCAGCTACTGAGGCAAAAAAAAGTACTCAAGTCAATTAACGCGGGCCAGCATATGTCATCAGCCTAGTACAGAACTACAGAAAAATAACAATTAATGTGGAGCCTAGGGGAAAAAAGAGAACTGAAAAGAGGAACATGAATGTTTTTATCCAGAAACTTCTAAGGGCCAGATACTAAGTCTAAAGAAAAGTAGCCCAGTCACTAAAAGGAGACAGCAAACTGACTGTGGATACGGGATTCCGACTGCGGGGACTGCATTTCAGCTCCAAGGCTCACCATCTGTGTGACCCTGGCAACACTGTTTTATCTCTGTCAGCCTCAACTTTGTCTTCTGTAAAATGGGGTAACACTAGCACCCACATTATAAGATGGGTTTGAGGATTACTACAATGAATATATAGAGTACTTAGCGCACTCTCCAAAATTCATTGAGTCAGTTATTGTTCACCATTAAGTACACGATGTTAGTTATAATCAATCATTTTAAGGTGAAATCTCCTGTGATGTAAAGAAAATCAACATTTTCCAAAATAGGCATACAACATTTTAAAATCCATCTAACCCTTATTTCTATGACTCTGCTTAACCTTCAACGCTGTGGTCACTGACTTGGGTTTCTGGTTAATTTTAAAAAGGGGGAGTGGTCTTGAGTGTTCAGGCAGCTGGTCTCTCAATGTAGTTCATCACAGGTTTAGTTTAAAACTGGTTAAAAAAATGGTCAAGCTATCAAAGAAGGAAGGAAAAGGGTTAGTGTTATATTAAGTGCCAGACACTGGGTGCAAAGGTAAGGACACAGCAAAGCACAACCCTGCACAGTCCTTATCTTGAAGGAGTTTAGGGCCAATTCTGACTAAAAGAACTATTACGGTCAAAGAGCATGAATATTTTTAAGGAAGTTTAATTTTCTCACTATATTTTACCACTTATTTTTTATTTTAACTTTTTTTCTTTAATTTCTCTAGAGAGAGGGGAAGGGAGAGAGAAAAGAGAGGGAGAGAAACATCAATATGAGAGAGAAACATCGAATCAGTTGCCTCTTGCACATGCCCAGACCGGCAAACCCCCAGGCACGTTCCCGGACTGGGAATCAAACCGGCTACCTTTGGCTTTGCAGGACGACACCCAACCAGCTGAAAGATATCAGCCAGGGCTAACTACTTATCTTTGAGAAAGATCTGATAGTCTTTTATCATCAACAGAATAACACATTAATTTTAACCAAGCATCCTTCTCCTCATAGTCATTATCTATTTTCCAATTTTATGGGCAATACCTGGTTTCTGGGGACTTCTTTTCTTAGTAGTGAGATAGAACTTTTGAATATGTTTATGACACATTCACATCTACTCTTTTGGGAGGTACATATTTCTTTTATACAGTTCCTTATTGAAGTCTTTTCTCTTTACTGTTTAGTTTTTGCATACTAAGGTTATTTCTTTAAAATATTTTATGTATATATTTTATCAGGTTGGTCCTGGAGTGTTGGTGTGTGTGATATGTATATATATATGTACACATACACACACTAATATTTTTTGACAAAGAAACAGGTCCTGGGCTAGTCTTTAGAGATATCAAGTCAGGAAAGCATGACAGAGTATCCTAAATTCAGTCTGTTTATTGAAGCTTCTGATTTTCGAGCAAGTACTAGAAAGGAACTATTAAGTATAAGAAAGCGTAGCGTTAACTAACTTCATTCAATTAGTATTTATTGGCATAACAATGTAAAATAGGATAGGAATGGTTTTCAAAATTCCAACTTTTCAAGTGCATAAAAGAAACATACTGTGACAGAGTCGAGTCTTTGTTTCACTTGCTGCATCTTCACTGAAGAGTCCTCAGTGTGGACATAGTCGTCAATCTGAAAAGAGCCTTGTTGAGGCGGTTTAGGAGGGGTGCATAAAGGATCTCTACTTTGGTGTATTCCGGGGAACGGAAATGTTCCATTGTAGTGTTTGAACGTTTCAGCCTCCTGCTGGGCAACTGGAAAAGATGAATCCATATTAGTTCAAAGCATTATAGAAAAAGTATAATGAAATAATTAAGCCACAAAACTGTAGCATTAAATAAATGATAAGAAACTGCATGATACATTTCAAATGCTGAGTAATAAGAAGACACCATGACTGGTAAAATGTGAAATTATTAAGGACTCTAAAACCATAAAGAGGAAAATATAATAATTTCACAGATAATTTCATACTAGACAGTATTATAATTGAGTCTGCAAGGCCATGCATATCTTGGTCTGGCAAATATAACAAATTGAGTGGGAGCCTAAACTGAATATATGTGGATAGAAAAAATAATATAAAAAATCAAAGGCATAATACAAAATAATTAAAGAACATGCAAAAAATAAAAATAATTACACATGAATCCATCTCCCTAAAACAAAAAGGTGAAAACCATTTCTAAAGCCCTCCTAATCTTTCTACATACACCCATTTTATATAAGATATCATGGTATAAATGTAATTTAACATTTAAAAAAATTAAATGTAAGCACCCTTCATATTTACACAGCAATGTAATTTTCATTTTTAAAAGCTTTACAAGATCACATCTAATGAAGCACCATAATTTATTTATGCATTCTTCTATTATTAAATATTTACAGTATTTTCTACTTTCCCTCATTACAGATCACCTGTAAGTCCTTCATAATTTAATTTGTTTCTTACATGATTCTTTCTTGGGATTTAATTTCTAGAGTGGGACAGATGACTCAAAGGATGAGTGCTATTGATGACGACGAAGAAGACAAAGACACTGCCATCGGGCCATCGGAAATGCCCTTCACGGTTGTTAGGCTGCTTCGACCTGTACAGCCTCTCTGATCGCTTAAAATACGTGAATTTATAAAATTTTAAAATGTTTGTATATACAAAGGAAAAATATATAAAATGACCATTTAAAAGTTATTTCCTAATTGTTATTGGTCTATTCAGGTTTTTTGCTTCTTGATTCAGTTTTGGAAGATTATGTTTCTAGAAATTTGTCCATTTTGCCAGGTTGTCAAATTTCTTGGCATACAGTTTTCATAGTTATTTCTTACAATCCTTTGAATTTCTGTGGTACTGGTTGTCATTTCTCTTTTGTTTCTGATTTTATTTATTTGGGTCCTCTCTTTTTTTCTTGATGAGTCTGGTCAAAGGCTTGTCAATTTTGTTTATCATTTCAAAGCACCAGCTCCCAGATTTACTGATCCTTTGAATTGTTCTTTTATTCTCCATGTCATTTCATTCTGCCCTGATCTTGATTATTTCCTTCCTTCTAGTCACTCCAGGCTTTGTTTGTTGTTGTTCCTCCAGTTCTTGTAGATGCAGGGTTAGGCTGTTTATTTGAAATTTGTCTACCTTTTTAAACCTGTATTGCTATGAACTTCCCTCTCGGGACTGCCTTTGCTGTGTCTCATAGGTTTTGGGCTGCTGCATGTTCATTTTCATTTGTTTCCAGAAACTTTGTGATTTCTTCCTTGATCTCATCGTTAACTCATTCATTATTTAATAGCATGTTATTCAGTCTCTATGAATTTGAATGTTTTAAGTTTTTTCCTTGAAGTTGGTTTCTAGTTTCAAGTCACTGTGATCCGAGAAGATGCTTGACATGATTTCAGTTTTCTTGAGTTTGTTGAGGCTTGTTTTGTGACCTACATGTGGTCTATCTTTGAAAATGTTCCATGTGCACTTGAAAAGAAATTGTATTTTGCTTCTTTGGGGTGAAAGGTCCTGTACATATCAATTAAGTCCCTTTGATCTAGAGTGTTGTTCAATGCCACAACATTCTTGTTGATGCTTTGCTTGGAAGATCTATCTGTTGTTGACATGGGGTGCTAAAATCCCTTACTATAAATGTGTTGCTGTCAATATGTTTCTTGAAGTTCTCCAAAATTTTCCTTATATATTTGGTGCTTCTATCTTGGATGCATATATGTTTACAAGGGTTATATCTTCTTGATGGATTGTTCCCTTAAGTATTATATAGTGTCCTCCTTTATCTCTTTTTATGGCCTTTGTGTTGAAATCTATTTTGTCTGAAGTAAGTATTGCTACCTCAGCTTTTTTTTTTCAAGTCCGCTTGCTTGGAATATTTTTTTTTTACTTTCAGTCTGTGTAGATCTTTTGTTCTGAGGTCTGTCTCTTGCAAACAGAATATGTGTGGGTCATGTTTTCTTATCCACTCAGCTACCCTATGTCTTTTGATGGGAGCATTTAGTCAATTTACATTTAAGGTTATTACTGATAGGCACTTACACATCGCCATTTTTCTCTTTATTCTTGTGTTCCCCCCTCTCTCTCTTTCTTCATCTTCTCAAAGCAATCCCTTTACCATCTCTTGCAGTACTAGTTTGGTGAAGATATGTTCCTTTAGCCCTTTTTTTAATCTGAGAGGATTCTTATTTTGCCTTCCATTTTATTTTATTAAAATATTTTACTGAGTATGCTATTAGAGTTGTCCCATTGTTTTCTACCCCTTATTCCTCTCTTCCCTGAAACCACCCCCCAGCATTCCCCCACCTTAGTTCATGTCCATGGGTCGTACATATAAGTTCTGTGGCTTCTCCATTTCCCATACTATTCTTAGCCTCCCCCTGTCTATTTTGTACCTACAATTTATGTTTTTTATTTCCTGTACCTTTCCCCTCCTTCTACCCCCCCTCCTCCCTGCTGATAACCCTCCATATGATCAACATTTGTGATTCTTTTCCTGCTCTAGTTGTTTGCTTAGTTTTTTACATTCAGTTGTTGATAGTTGTGAGTTTGTTGACATTTTACTGTTCACAGTTGTGACCTTCTTCTGAAATGAGTCCCTCTAACATTTCATATAATAAGGGCTTGGTGATAATGAATTCCTTTAACTTGACCTTATCTGGAAAGTACTTTGTCTGCCCTTCCATTCTGAACAATAGCTTTGCTGGATAGAGTAACCTTGGATGTAGGTCCTTGCTTTTCATCATTTTGAATACTTCTTGCCAGCCCCTTCTTTCCTGCAAAGTGTCTTTTGAGAAATCAGTTGATAGTCTTCTGGGAACTCCTTTGCAGGTAACTATCTCCTTTTCTCTAGCTGCTTTTACGATTCTCTCTTTATCTTTAATCTTGGGTAATGTAATTATGATGTGTCTTAGAGTGTTCCTCCTTGGGTCCAACTTCTTGGGTCCAACTTCTTTGGGACTCTCTAAGCTCCCTGAAAGTCTATTTCCTTTGCCATACTAAGGAAGTTCTCCTTCATTATATTTTCAAATAAGTTTTCAATTTCTTATTCTTTCTCTTCTCCTTCTGGTACTCCTCTGATCCAAATGTTGGAATATTTAAAGTTGTCCCAGAGGTTCCTAAGCCTCTCCTCATTGTTTTGAATTCTTGTTTATTCATTCTGTTCCAACTGAATGTTTATCTCTTCCTTCCTTCCTTCCTTCCTTCCAATGATTTCCTCCAAATCATTGATAGGAGTCCCAGTTTCCTTCCCATCACTATTGGTTCCCTGTACATTTTCCTTTATTTCACTTTGCCTTCACTTCTTTATTTTGCAACCATATTCAACCATTTCTGTGAGCTTCCTGATGACCACTGTTTCGAACTCTGCATCTGATAGGTTGACTATCTCTTTATCACTTAGTTCTATTTTTGGAGCTTTGATCTGTTCTTTCACTTTAGCGATTTTTTTTTGTCTCAGCATGCCTATTACATAGTAATGGGTGGAGCCTTAGTTATTCACTAGGGCAGGGCAACCTGTGTCCCTTCATTGTGGCACTGTATGTAGAAGAGGGTCCAAGAGGGAACAATGGCACTTGCTTGGCTCTCAGCCAGCTTTCAGTCAGTTCCCCTTCTACCCACAAGCAAATTGTGCCCTTCTGGTGCTGATTCCCAGATGGATGGATTTTGTGTATGATCTAGAACCCTGTGGGTCTCTCCAACAAACTCTCTGTGAGGCTGGGAGTTTCTCCCACCACCACAACCCCACAGGTTTTTATAGCCAGAGGTTTTGAGGCTTTATTTCCCCATGCTGGAACCCTGGGTTGTGCAGTCTGTCTCACTCCCCAGTTGTTCCTCCCTGTTTATCTGCAAGCAAATGTTGGACTGCCCAGCCTGCCAGCTGCTGCCTTGCCATGAGTCCTCTCCATCCCAGCTGCCTGTCTCAGCCCCTCCTAGCTGCTGGATGAATTTCTTCTTTAACTCCTTGGTTGTCAAACTTCCATACAGTTTGATTTTCTGGCAGTTCTGGTTATTTTGTGTTTTTAAATTTGTTGTCTTTCTTTTGGTTGTGTGAGGAGGCAAAGTGTATCTACCTACACCTCCATCTTGGCCTGAAGTCCCTGCATTACATTTTAAATGAATCTTGCTGGGTAGAAATGAAACTATACCACCAACTTACACCATACACCAGAATAAACTCAAAATGGATAAAAACTTAAACATAAGCCTCAATACCATAAAAGTCCATAGACAGTAAAACTTCAGATAACCCATTGAGCAATATTTTAATGATAAATCCTACAGGGCAAGGGAAATAAAGGAAAGAATAAATAAATGGGACTACTTCAAATTAAAAAGCTTCTGCACGGCTAAAGAAAACATCATCAAAATAAAAAGGGAACCAACCACATGGGAAAACATATTTGCCAACAATACCTTGGAGAAGGGTTTTATCTTCAACATATATGAACAACTCATATGACTGAATAAACATGTGAAAGGAGCTCAACATCATTAGTCATTAAGGATAAGCAAATTAAAAGCACAAGGAAATAGCACTGTATACCTATTACAATGGCTAAAATTAAACAGACTGCCCATTTTGAATTTAGCAAGAATATGGAGATACTGAAATATTTATACACTACTGGTGGGAATGTTAAAAGGCATGACCACTTCAGAAAAGTATGGCACCTTCTTAAAAGGTAAACATACAACTACATTAGGATACAGGCCTTCTACTCTTAAAACTTTATTAAAGAGAAATGAAGGCATGTGTCCATACAAAGA